TTTTTCATAGATAGCCTTAATCAGGTTGAGATAAAGACCTTCTATTCCAATTTTCTGTAGGGTTTTTATCATGAATGGGTGCTGGATTTTGTCAAATGCTTTTTATTTGTATATTTTTGAGACAGGGTCTTACTATGTAATTCAGGTCGGCCTTGAAGTCACTATATAGCCCAGCCTGGCCTTGATATTGGGATTCTCTTGTCTCAGCCGCCTTGGGGCTTGAACCACAGGTGTGTATTCACTAACACACCGGGTTAGATTACAGCAAACGCCGGGGAGCCAGGACCCTCCCCACAGGCTGCCCCCCAACCCCTCTTGCTGTGAGTCGTTCTGGAAGTGGCCACAAGGGGCAGCACCAGGCCTATTTTCATCTCTGTTGGGTTTCTCAGACTCTTGCGCCCCCTGGTGGTGGTGAGGAAACAAACGGACTCAGCACCTTTGAGGCTGGCGTGGGAGGTACTGGGGGAGGAAGCCGGGCCTGGGCTTGCCCCTCGGCACCCTCAGGCTGCCCTGCCATTCTCCAGGCCCAGTCACAGGGATCAGGTCCCTGACTTTTCATCTAGGTGGCCACAGAGTGCGGGAGGCTGCAGGATCCTCCCTGCCTGCAGCAGCCCCAGGGAAAGAGCCCTGAGGAGTCAGGCCCCTGTTCCCAGCACTGGCCCAATACCACCCCTATGGCCTTGTGTGAAATGAGAAGCAAATACGATTCCCACTCCTCTATTATATTATTGAAGCAGGGCCTTGCTAGGTGGTTCAGGCTGGCCTCGGACTCAGGTGATCTTTCTGCCTCAGCCTCCTGAGTGTTGGGATTACAGTCAGGCACCACCAGAACCAGTTCTTATTATTTTTAAGGCAGTGTCTTGCTGTGTATTCCAAGCCAGCCACGAACTCACCAAGTACCCTGCTTGCCCCAACCTTGGGTTCAACCTTGAACCCAACCTCCGGGTTCAGCCTCCTGAATGCTGGGATTAAGGTGTGTGTCTCCATGTGCGGCTGACACTTTCAAAATTTGACAAAAACAAACGAGCCAGAATCCTCCCCACAGACTGCCCTCCCAGGAATCCCTGGCTCTCAGGAGAGACCATGCTGTTCTCAGGGCTCTTTCTGTTTCCTCTTGAGCCTGATCTCTGGAAGCCGCCAAGTCACAGCAGCCCCTCTCAGCTGCAATCCAACGTCCCAGGGGGTTTGCTGGTCCTGTTACAGGAGGAAGGGGCCGCCCAAGGTCACAGCCCCAGTAGACAGGTACCAAACTCCGGACCCTGCTGCCATCAAGACCTCAGGGGATGCATCGCAACTAGAGCATGACAAATTGGGACAAGGGTCCCTGCTTTGGGACCTTTTCCTTGATTTTGGGCTCTTTTTTTTGAGACAGGGTCTCACTTTGTAGTTCGGGGTGGCCCCGTACTCACTATGTAGCCCAGGCTGGCCTCGAACTCGCGGCGACCCTCCTGCTTCTGCCCGAATGCTGGGGTCACAGGGGTGCGCCACCACGCCCGGCTGGGGCCTTTTCCTTGAGAGTTGTGGTTTTCCCCACTCGCTTGTTTTCAGACCGTGACATACTAAAACCACTTTACAGATGGAGTCCTGGGACGAGTCGATTCTGGAACTGGCCACCAGGGGCAGCATTAGGTCTGTTTCCAGCTCCTTTAAGGCTTCACCGACCTCTTGCGCCCTCTGGGGGTTGTACGGAAACACGCAGAGAAAATGGACTCTGCGTTTTGGAAAGGTGGTGGACTCTGGGCTGGGGTGGGAGGTATTGAGGAAGAAGCTGGGCCAGGTACTTGGCACCTTCATGCCGCCCCACTCCCAGGGATCAGGTCCCTGACTTTTCATCCAGGTGAGCACTGAGTCCGTGCAGGCTCCTCCCTACCCGCAGGAGCCCCAGGGATGGACCCCTGAGAAGTCCAGTCCTTGTCCCTAGCACGGCTCCAACATCAACCCTACGGGCCTCTGTGAAGTGAGGAGACAGAGAAAATATGATCTCCGCCTCCGCGACCAGCAGGAGAGGGGACGTACGTGGTGGCGTTCCCCCTGCGTGCGCGGGGCTCGGGGGAGCCGAGGTCAGGAGCAGAGCAAGCCGCATGGGCTGTGGCCCCGTCCCCGGTCCAACAGCTGATGACCCGTGTCACACGCGGGCACCTCAGGGGCTGCTTTCGGGGACACAGACAGCGCCTAAGGGCCGGGGGAGAAGCCTGTGCGCGAAGAGGGGCAGCGGGCTGGGCGCAGCGACCGGGGGTGCTGTCCAGGGAAGGGTGCTGGGACGAGAGGTGCAGGGATAGGGGGATGGGGGACACCAGGAAGCTCCTCCCTTGTCTCCCCATCACCACTGGCCTCATTCCTGCCCTTCGAGGGTCACGCTGGTCTCTGGAGCCCAGCGAGGAGCATCCCTCTGCGAGGACACTGCAGGCCTGACACACACTGAGTTTACTGGAACTGAGTTTACACTGAGGAATGAGTTACTTCTCTGAGTATGGGGATCACAGCTGGGGTGCTCTACCCCTGAGCTACACCCTCACCCCTTCTCATTTCTGAGACAGTGCCTCGCTGTGTCTTTCAGCTTGGGCTCTCACTTGGGATCCTCCTGTCTCAGCCTCACAGATTGCCAGGATTAAAGGTGTGCAGTGTCATACCTGCCTTGTTTTTGTTTTTTTGGTACTGGGGCTCGAACTCAGGACCTTGTGCTTTCGAGGCAGGTGCAGTGCCACTGAGCTAAATCCGTGACCCACTGGCTTTTTTTCTTAAATTCTTTTATTGGTACATTTTAGGTATATATTTACATTTCTCATTGGGTGCTTGTACCTGTACATGATATTTCTTGGTTCTTATTTTTTTCCCATTTCCTGTCCCTTCACCCCTTCCTGGCTTGTTTTTAAAACAAAGTAAAATGTGGAAACCTTCCCGATGGTCGAGGAGGTCATTCAGCGACCTTCACCAGCAGGGTGCAGTGGGACCGTGCTCAGTGACCCCCACCTGGCCTTCTGTGGGGCTCGGGGAACAGAAACCCTTGCTGTTCTTCTCACTGGGGACGGAGCCAACTTCTCGATACAGACCTGTCCCAGTCTGGGGCTGACCCCCAGGGCGGCCCATCTGTAGAGCGGAGGTGTGGAGAGAGACCCTTCTCGTGTCATCAACAAAGCCCACAATTCCCCACGAGCTGGGCCCATCACAATGCCTGATGGACAGAGGAGGAAACTGCGGCCCAGAGTCTGGCACTGCTGCCCTCTGTCAGCACAGGGCAGAGCCAGACCTGGCCCCAGGGCCCGGACTGCGATGTCCTCAGGTCCCACTGCCCTCTTGGGCCACAGTCACACACCGTCCTCGGCCACACAGGGGAGCAGGAAACCTCTTTATTGCAGCACGACAGCATCCCAGGTTCCGGGGTGGCTGGGAAGAGGGCCTGCAGAACTGGGAGGCCCAGCCTGGGACAGCACCGGGGCGGGACAGGAGGCAGTCCTTGTGGTGACCCGTGACCCTCCTAGTGGTTCTGAGAGGAAACAGAGCCCGGGCCTGGTCCCCAGCATCCAGGGCCCTGGCAGCTTCAGTGTCAGAAGCTGCGGAGCTGGGGGGGGGGACAGGAAGTAGAATGACCCCGTACCCCACGCCCCGATACACGGTGTCGCCAGGGACTGGCCCCGGGGCCCAGGTCCCCAGCAGTCTTCCGCTGCCTGATCCCCACCAGGTGGGGGTGTTCAGTGTGCTGCAGGGGCCTCAGCGATGGCCTTCTCCACCCGCAGGTACCAGGGCCCGATGTGCGTGTGTTGCATCATGTCATTGAAGGCCTCCAGACCCTCCATGACGCGCAGCACGCCGTACACCGCCTGCAGAGGGAGCCAAGGGCTGTCGGCCTCCAGCTCAGCTGCTTCAGCGCCCGGGGCTGGCACAGAGCGTGTGGGTGGCTGCAGGTTCCACATCCCACTCCGGGCATCAATCCCCCCAAGTGCCGGGGAACAGAACCTGGCATCCTGCTCCAAACCAGGACCCTCGGCTACAGGATGGTCCCGGGGCTGGGCACACTGCCCTGGTGCTGCCACTCGGGCCTCTGGATCCAACCAGGCCTGAAACCAGCCCCTTCCCTGAACTTGTCAGGTATGGGAACCAGGCCAGTTCCTAGCGGCTGGTTTCCTCCTTAAGCTGCTCCGGCCTGAGTCTACCTGATGCTGGATGGGGGTATGGGTGGCAGGACGGGAGGACGGGAGGGGAAAGGGCAGTGATACCTGGGTGCACCCTCCCCCAGGGCAGGCCTCTCCGCCTGGGCGCCCGAGCCACCACTTCACCCACCAGGTCAGCGAGGTTCGGCTTCTGGCCTCCCATGAAGGGCCGGTCTTTGCCCACGGCTGCCACCCACTTGTTGGCGGCCTCGTAGAGGTCCTCACGCACATCATCCCGGAGGTGATGCCTGGGCGGGGAGGGGAGCCCATCAGGCTGGTGGGCAGGGTGGCCCCCGGGAGACCCCAGAGAGCACCTGCCGGACAGGGGACAGTGTGGCTCAGGAGGGCAGCGCCCCGCGTGGAGACAGAAGCAGAGGGAGGTGCAGCAGGGCCAGCTTCTGATGCCCAGGCCTGGTGCCGGGGAGGTGAATGGGAGCCCTGGCTGCCCTCCTGCCCCCCTTGGGCTTGAGGGCCCACCACACAGCTGTGGCGTTGGGTTCAGGGCCCGGCAGGCCAGACCCACGCACATGTGCATCACCTGCTCTTGAGGCGCTTGCTGATGAGGTACATGGCCACCGCGCCCACGTACTTAGCCATGGCACCCTCCAGGGCCCCGAACTTGCCCTCGCGGACGATGTAGTCGAAGGAGGCCAGGGCCTCAGCCGGTGTGCGGTACACGTTGGGCGAGACGAGGTGCACCAGCCAGTCGTCTGCCCACTGACGCCACCTCATCTCCTCCCTGTGGGTTTGGGAGGTGGCGCGGTGGGCCCTGGGCTGCCAGGAGCAGAACTTGGCTCCAGCCCCGGGGCCCCTGCACTGCCGCCTAGCCCAACTCACGTCCTGGCCTCCTTGCCGCCATACATGTGCTGGGCCTCCTGCTCGTCCAGCATGAGCCAGTACTTGTTACAGAACTCGGTCACCTCCTTGCCCTGGTCATTCAGGGCCTTCATGGGCGGGTAGTAGGTGATGACCTCGTCCAGGGGCTGCCTTTGGGAGGGAGCCAGAATCTCATTGCAGCTGTCCTCCTCCTGTCCCCAGGGCCACCTGACCACACCCCAAAGACTCTGCCCTCTTGCAGCAAGAGGACCTGGGTTAGACACCGGGAGGGAGCACTTTCCCCACAGGGGGAAGAGATGTGGGAGCAGAAAAAGGGAGGGCTTGGGCCAGCATGCCCCCCCCCCCCCCCCGCACACCCTCCCTGGAGAGAAGGACAAGGCCCCAAGGTCCTTACCCGGATACCAGGTGGGTCTTCAGGGCACTGATGATGACAGAGGAGTCGTTCAGTTGTTGCTGGAAGAGAAGTTTGGTTTCTGAGCCAGGGTCTTGCTATGTAGTTCAAAATGGCCTTGAACTCACTATGTAGCTCAGGTTGGCCTCCAACTCATGAAGATCCTCCTGCCCCAGCCTCCCAAGTGCTGGGATTACAGGCATGCACCACCATGCCCGGCTCTGGATGCAAAGTTCTAGCTGTGGCTGGCAGGACTGGAATGGGCTCCTAAACTACACCAATGCATGGGCACTCAGGTTACCTGGTTGCATGGAGCCCAGGCACTGCGCACCCATCCTGAGGGCTTGCCCCCAAACCAATGCCTACTGAGCCCACCTGTTTCCATCTGTCTCATCCTGATTAGGGAGACCAAGTGTGACTAATGGAGGCACAGCCTCTGCGATGCCCCCGCCCCAGCTCTGAGTGCTCCAGAAGCTGCACATGAGGGGCCAAGCCCCATGCCAGGCATTTCACATCTGCTGTGCCTACAGCCCAGATCTGAGAGTACAGGACAGGAAGGGGTGGGGGTCCCCAAGACTCACCGAGCTGTCTCCTTCCTGGGCCACCAGGATGGGCACCTTCCTGTAGGAGGAGAACTTGATCTCGGCCCTGCGCACGGGGTTCACCTCCACCACCTGGTAGGGCAGGGCGTGGAAGTCCAGGAAGGCACGCACCTTGCTGCAGAAGGGACATGTCTTGTACTGGTACAGGGTCAGCTGCAGGTGGCTGGACAGGGAGAGCTGGGGAAGCAGAGGGAGGGGGCTCCTGAAACCTGCAAGCCCCAGGTCCAGGCCCCATTTGTTTCTCTGGGGGGCCTTCTGTAAACATAGGAATAATAGGGGGGGCGGGGCCTCCCCTCCCCTCCCCTCCCCTCCCCTCCCATTTTAGTGGACAGCCCCGGTGCAAGCCCCGGCTGGTGCACCCCAGGGCAGGGACACCAGACAGTCCCAGGGTGTGTTTTCCTCAACCTGCAGCACCCAGGCCCCCAGCCGGCTCCATCCCCCCAACCCCAGGGACCTCCGGGTGACAGGCAGTACTGAGCTACCACTCAGGCCAGCTCTGGCCAGAGAAGGGTGGGCCTCAACTCTCCAAGAGGCAGCTGTACCGCCATGAGCTGGGTCCTCAGGTGAGCTTGGTGCACACTGGTGTTGAGGCCCTAGTTTTAGTCCACCACCTCTCTCATTATTCATATGGGAAACTGAGGCCGGCCATGGACGTGGGCAGGGAGCCACTGGGCTCTCCGGGGTCCAGGAAAGGAGTACTGGGGACTAGGGGAGCAAAAAAGGGCTTGATGGTACACCCTATAAAAGGTCTCAAAGGCAGCTGGGCCACCATCAGGCTGGAGACCACATCTCCCTACGTCACACCTCCCCATCTGAGGGTCATCAGTCCTACAAAAATGCTACAATCAGCTAGGCATGGTGGTGCACGCCTGCAATCCCAGCAATGGGGAGGCTGAGGCAGGAGGATCACTGCAAATTCGAGGCCAGCCTGGGTTACACAGTGAGTTCGAGCCCAGCCTGAACTACATAGCGAGACCCTGTTTCAAAAAGCAAACAAAGATAAAAAAACCCCGAAACAGCAATAAAACCACGGCCACCGCTGCAACGCTCAACCTTAGAACACGTTAGGAAAACTACCAGCATGAGAAACACACAATACAGTCCTAGCCCCATTTAACAGGTGACGACGCTGCGGGCTCGGACACCTATCTATGGCTAAGTCACTCGCCCAAGGTCATCAGCGGGCGGAGAGGGCGACTCCTGACCCGCGAGGGCCCAGGAGTTCCGGGTTCGGCGTGAATCCCCGGTCGCCTTCTCGGCCCGGCCCAGCCCGGCCTTACCTGCGCAGCTGGGCGCTCGGCGCGGAGGTCCTGGGCGCGCAGGTGCCACCGCACGGTGTGGTACAGTCCCAAGGCGCCCCCCACGGCCAGCGCCGCCGCCCCCAGCAGCTGCGGGCGCCCCCGGCGGCCACCCGCTGCCCGAGAGAAGCCAGCCCGGCTCTGCGTGAGCAGCGGTGGCCAGGGGCGGCCACCCAGCGTGTCGGCGAGCGCACACCTGCCGGGCCACAGGGTCCGTGCCAGCCGGGCCGCCTGTGCCATGTTCTCTTCGTCGGCGCCGTGGGCGGGCGCGCCGAACCAAGACGCAGGCGCAGCGGCTCCGCTTAAAGGACCAGCCCCCGACTTCCGGTGCGTTGCCAGGGGCGACGGCGACGCCCAGAGGTGACAGCAGTCCAGTGCGCGCCTGTCAGAGCCGCAGAAATACAGTCGGGGTCATCTGGAGGAGGCTCAATGCCCTCGGCTTCTGAGGGTGTCTGCAGAGGGTCTCAGCGGTGACCGCGGGAGTGAGGGACCTACTACGTGTCTAGACTACGTGCTAGTAGGTCCTCACCCTCTGAGGAGGGTGGGCCTCTGTGATAGGTGCTCAGCCGTTTCTACATCATGCATCTATTCGAAAGAAATGGAAGACTGCGGAATGTCAGGAAAAGAGCCCTGGTGTAAGGTCAAAGAAGGGGCCCCGGCCCACTCCCCAGAGAGAGTGGCAGACTCGGCCTTTCTGCCATCCCGAGCCGCTGTGCGACTCCTGAAACCTGAACCATAAAGTTTCCCAAAGCCAACGGGGGCCTTGAAAACTAGGTGTCTCAGATGTAGCCCAGGCGGGATGGCCGGCTTGCGGACCTGGAGGCCCCCACGGGCAGAATGGGGCAGAATGGGCGTCCCAGGGCGCCCCATCCTTCTGCCCGCTCGCTTGCCCTAGCTGAGTGCCGGAGCCTCCACCGCCCCAGGCGACTCTGCGGGAAGCTCAGACAGGGTCCCGCCCGGGGCCGGAAGGGGCGGAACTAACGGAATGGGCGGAGACCAGGAGGGCTGCGGGGCGTGGTCATGGGCGGGGACACCTCGCCCCGCCCTGTTGGGCGGACACTTTGCAAACTCTTGTGGGGGCAACACTCTGTTTCTTCCGCGTTGCATCCTGCTGTCGCGCTATGTTGGGTCCCTACTGGGACCAGGGCACGCGGGTGGAGGCGGGCGCTGAAGGCGTGGACGATGGCTTGGAGGAAGCACGTGACCCGAGTGGGCTGCTACGACGATCTTTGTTTTTCTAGGAATGCCCTCCAGGGGAGGGAAGTCAGGGCGAGTATGGGGGCTTGGAAGGGACCGAAGTGACACCCTCAACTCGCTGCTGGGGGCCCTAAGTTTTTCTGTAGCTCGGAGGTGCAGGGCGAGCACCCGAGAAACAGGTCCCTGGAAGTCGCAGCACTGGAGAACAGTGGGCAGCCAGGCCGGATTACAGATGGGGAACTGAGGCAGAGTGAGGGACACGGTGAGGGTGAGACTTTCTCTGGCCGCTTTCTTCAGTCCCTAAGGAGATGAAGGTGCCTGAAAGAGACCAAGCAGAGGACTGGAGGGTACCTTGGCTAAGCAGGAGGACTGCCCGGTACCTTGTCCCTCATCCCCAGCCATCTGGCTTTGCTGCTGTGACCTGTGTACAAAGCAGCCTGTTGCTGGGCAGCACTACTGAGAGGTGGAGAACCATGCACCCTTTGGTCTTTTGTCACTTTGTCCAACCTCAGTTTTCCTATCTTGATGTAGGAATAACGATTGGTTTCTCCTGCATGGACACAGGTTAGAAATGAGAAAATGACGGGGAGGAGCTGGGAAGCCAGTGAGGCTGATGCCTGGGATCCTGTTTTTTTTTTTTTTTTTTTTGGTACCCGGGATCGAACTCGGGTGTTTGCGGTTGCGCAGCAGGGGCGAAACCACTGAGCTAAATCCCCGGCCCTGGATCCTGTTTTTTATTCATCTGGCAACTACTTGATCTAGAACAGGCCAGACACCGAACATGCATGTGCCTTGTGGACGTCCCAGCCTCCAGACCAGTGAGAAATAAATCTCCATCACTCATGAATGGAGCAGTCTGTGGGGTCTTTGTTAGAGCAGCAGAAACAGAGACAGCTGTTTACCGCTCTGTTGCTCTGGGGACCACGGGGGACAGGGAGCCAGGACCCCACATTCTCACAGGAAAGAAAAGCTCAGATCCTGCCAGCCCATGAACCCCAGTCTGGGCTGAACGTCTGTACCTACCTCCCGTGGCGTCTGAGCCAGTGGTCAGTGTCGTGGACACATGCCTGTCCATGGCTCTGTGACCACCGCTCTGGGTTTTCCTTCCGTCTCTCTGGATAGGCCCCCTGTCTCCTTTGCCCTTTCCTCTGCAACTGTCATTTAAGAATAGGCTCCTGGGCCGGGGATTTAGCTCAGTGGTTCCGCCGCCTGCTGCGCAAGCGCAAAGACCCGAGTTTAACACCCCGCACCAAAAAAAAAAACAAAAAAAAAAACAAGAATAGGTTCCTAACTGCACCTGCCTCGAAAGCATGAGGTCCTGAGTTCGATCCCAGGTACCAAAAAAAAAAAAAAAAAAAAATAGGTTCCTTAGTGCCAGGCTTGATGGTGCATGATGGTGCATGCCTATAATCACAGAATGTTGGGAGGCGGGTGGAGGAAGATTGCAAATTTGAGCCCTGCCTGGCTAACTCTGAGTTTTTCATAGTTAAAAAAAAAAAAAGACTGAGGATATAGTTTAGTGCAAAGGCCCTTGCTAACAACAACAACAACAACAAAAAGGTATTTGCTTCACATTTTCATTCATGTAGAGCATTTGGACTAGTTCTATGGTGATTGGAGAGCAGGTCCGTGTTTGCCCGAGGGTGGGAGAGACGGAAGAGCTGGAGCGAAGCACTGCAAAGGGTCCTGAGGAATCTTTAGGGGATGATGAATACATTCACTGTTTTGATCTTCGGCGTTTTTTTTTTCTTTTTTTTAAACCTAGGTCAAAATTTACTAGTCGGGGGTGGTGGCACACTCCTATAAGCCCAGCACTTGGGGGGCTGAGGCAGGAGGATTGCTGTGAGTTCGAGACCAGCCTAAGCTATACAGTTCAAGGCCAGTCTGAACTCCATAGTGAGACCCTGTCTCCAAAAACAAAAGACAGAGAAGCTTACTAAATTGCTTCCAAACCACAATGAAAGGGTGTGTGAAAGAACTCCAGAGTTCCCGGTGGCCAAAGTTGGAAAACTTTGAGCAAAAAAAGAGTTAGAAAATAAATTGATATTGGATTATAAGCCAAAGTTTAAATAGATGGAGGAGGAGAAGCAGATCGCTTATGCAGAGGAATTCCACATAATTCATGCAGATACTCTGCCCACATCCCTTAGGTAGGTGCTGCCCTTCCTTCCAAAGAAGAAAGGGGGAAAAGTGACTTTAGAGAAGCCTGACAACCACACCTTTACTTTCGGCACACGGCCAGGTCAAACCCACAGTGATGAGTCAGGGTATCGCTGTGTGCCCCTGATACACGGTCGTGCAAAAATGGCATTTCTCTGAACTTCCTCCTTAAAACCCACAACTAATCACAAAAAACACTAGGCTGCCAAGACAAATGCTACACTGTCAAGGTCATCAAAACCATAAGAAGCCTGAGAAACTCATAGCTGAAGGAGCTATGGTTTGGGCGTGATTTGAGTGTCCCCCAAGGGTCCATGTGTGAAAATTGAGTTCCCAGTGTGAGCTAATAAGAGGATGGAACAACGTGACCCTGCAGTTTAGAGGTGGGGCTAGAGAGGTGATTTAGGGTTAGATAAGCTCTTCTTTTTCTTGCCATGGATGGTTACATCCCCTTGGGATTCTACCAGCAAGAAGACCACCACTGGGGGAGCCTCTCAGCCTTCCACCTCCAGAACCATGAGCTGAAATAAACCTCTTCTCCTCATTAAGTACCCTGTCTTGGGTATTGTGTTACTGTAGTGAAAACCAGGCCAAATTGATAATGCTGAAACAAACAAACAACAAAAACCAGGCCAATACAGTGATTAAATGGAATGTGGTATCCTGGATGCGATCCTGGAACAGACAAAGGACTGTATTTTAATAGTAGAGAAGATGGATGTAAGGGAGGGGAAAGGAATGTAAAAAGAATTAAAATGTTTTATGTACATGTACCACCTCCCCATGATGAATGTTTTGTTTTGTTTTGTTTTTTTGGTGCCGGGGCTTGCCCAGCAGGTGGCGAAACCACTGAGCTAAATCCCTGGCCCCCGATGATGAATGTAATCATGTACTACAAATGTACTAATTAAAATAAAAAATTAGAAAACAGGAAAAGCAGTTATTTTGTTTTCCTTGAGATAAGATCTCACTGTACAGTGCAGGCTAGCCTCAGACTCACAGGGTTCCTGCCTCAGTTTCCCCAGTGCTGAGATAGCACTCATCATCTATACTGTTTAGAAGACAGATATGCTAATCCAGTCACTGGCCTTTCCCTTTTTTTCTGTCTCCTCTGTATCTTTCCTTACTTGTTTCCCTCTTCCCATTCTACCTTCTAAGTAAATGAAGAATTTGAGATGCGATTATCTTGGATTATCTAGCTGGGACCTAAATGTCATTGGAAGTGTCGTTCTGTGAGTCAGGGGAGGGAGAGTAAGAATAGAAGAGACAGTCCTGTGAAGAGGGAGCAGAGACAGGAGTGATGGGGCCCCAAGCTTGGGAGCTGGAGGGAGCAAGGACCTGTACACACTGTATTTCAGATTCGGGGCTCCTGACCTTAGGAAGGTGTGGTTTTAGACCAACCGGTATGTAGTAATTGCTTGTAGTAATTTGATGACTTTGGGACATTCTCAGGCCATCCAGATTTCAGGGGATGTCGACAGGGGGAAATGCACTGTGAGGAAATCTGCCCTTGAGAGAACAAGGCTGTGGCTGGTAGGGCATCTGTGGATGTGGGGAGGAAGTGGCCCAAGATGGGGCTGCAGCGAGTGGGGAGGAAGTGGCCTGAATTAAGGGACCCCAGCAGTATGGGAGGAGGTAGCATGGATCAGGGGGACCCAGGACTGTCAGGAGGAGGTGGCCCAGACAGGAGGGGCACCCAGGGATACAGGTAGAGACCAGGGACCATGAGCCACGCCAGTCCTGGCAGAGCCAGGCTGAGCTTCTAGGCAGGGACACTTGGGGCTGCAGTGACCCTAGGAAGGACAGTGCTCACCTGAAGGACTCTGGGCCAGGAAGAGGCACCAAGTCCTGTGCCCTGTGATTGCTGCCTGGTGCATAGTGTGCCACCCATGATAGGTGATTCTCAGAGTCACAGGGAGGGAGCAGGGGTGATTGTCCCTCCAGACCTTGGTCTGGGTTTTGGGGTGCTGGACTCTCCTTCTAAAGGTGGTTTCTAGGTTCTTTCTGTGCTGAGCAAAGAATTGGTCAAGACGTGCACATGGTAATAAGATTTCACATTTATTGAAGATAGGGAAAGAAACAGGCTCTGCAGAGTGAGTTTGGGCCAAGTAAAGGTAAGAAAAGAAGCACATGCTGCCGGACAAGCACAGACTACTGTGAGAGAGCATCGTAGCAAACAAGTCAATACTGACTGTCCTTGACCCTGACCTCCCTCCTCCTCTGGCATGAATGAGGAGGGGCAGAAAGCCCCCGTCCCTTCAGAACACACAAGGAGACCCCAGGCAGGATCCTGAGTGCTATGGCTCTGGTGTCATTTCTTCTGGTGCCTGGGCTGGGCACTCTCCTGGCCTGGCTGGGCTCCCGGGTAGAAAGGAGAAGCAGCCGCTCTACAGAGCCAGGCCTGTCCTCTCCCAAAGCCAGCTTAGATGGTGTCCCACAGAGACCCAGCCAAGGCCTGGGGAGCAGGGAGCTGGGGGTAAGCAGAGTGGCTGTAAAGGACAAGTCCCATTCTTGGACAACTTGGGATGCCAGGGGCTATAGGAATGAAGGAGGCCGAGCTGGGAGGAAAAGACGTCCAGTGTCAGGGCCATGACAGGCAGAAAACCCCCTGCCTGTGCCCTGGCGCTACCTACTGCCCACTGGATGCCTGGTGCCTGCTGTAGACCCTGCTCTGTGCTGTGTCTTCCATTCTCCTGGGCCCTGTGGTCACCAAGGGCCTTCTCACCTGCATGGGCATCCAGGCTGTGGGCAAAGACAGGAGCAGCTCCAAGAGGCAGCCTGGGCCAGATGCCTAAGGCTAGAACTGGGAGTGGCCCTGGGCCCAGTCCTCAAGCAGCAGGGCCGGCTGCCCCTCTCGGTGGATCCCAGGGCCTCCCCAGAGCAGGTATCCAGGGGGAGTGTTGGGGGTTGAGAGGGGCTGCCTGTCAGTTTCCCCTCAGGCAGGGTCCCACCAAGTGGACAGGGCACAAGACATGTGAGGCTCCCTGTAAGCCCTGGCATGAGAGCTGGGAACAGGGGACTCAAGCCAGGGCCCCTGCAGACAAGCACCACACACTAATGTACTTCCTGCTGCAGGGAGCCTGGGGATCCACTATAACCAAGAAGGTCCCATCGGTGCCCAAGAGACAGGCATGGTGCTGGCTCTGGGAAGCTTGGTCGGTACAGTCCTGCCCTCTACACAGGGGAGAAGGGCCGCTTCAGCAGTCATCCTTGGTGGGGCCAGACACTGCTCCCATGCTGGGCTTCTGAAAGCCAGACCAGGGGTCAGACTGAATTGGTGAGGTGCAAGAACTGAACGCCAGGGAGCCTCTCCCTGCCCTTAGTGTTAGACTGGGCTGGGGCCAGGCCTGTCCCTGGGAAGTCAGGGCATCTTGGTCTCCCTCCTGGAAACCTCCTGTGGGCTGGGACCAGAGCAGCCAGAGTTCTCCTGGCTTCTGGCCACAGGAAACCCCGGTGTGGACCTGACCCAGCTGTGGCGGCTGTTAAGCAGGTCCAGAGCAGGACTGGGAGGGGGGTTGTGTCCAGCCCTGGCTCTGCCAGGAGAGGTTCAGCCCCAGAGCTGCTGAGTGACTTGCTGAGGGCTCACTGGGTCTGCAGTTCCTAGGGAGACAGCTTGGGAGCTGCAGGGGGTGGCCTTGTAGCACCAGGTCAGGGTCACCATGGAAACCTGGGGGCAGCAAATGGCTGGTATGGCAACACATGGTGCCATATATGCAGTATAGACCAATCCAAGTGCGGAGGTCTGAGCAGTATGGACCATGAGTTCCCTCCTGGGCAGGGGCCCATTGGGAAGAGGGTGGGCAGGAACTGGGGTCTCCAGTGTCCTGTCTACCTTGGAATCTGTGAGTTGGCCCATGTCTCACCAGGATGTCTACACTGTGGGCCTCACCCAGTCAGCCTAAGTTTCTTTTGCTGGATTCACATGAGAATGGTGAATGCTGCTGAGTTCTTTTTTTTTTTTTTTTTTGTGGTACCAGGGATCGAACTCAGGATCTTGTGCTTGCAAGGCAGACATGGCACTGAGGAGCTAAATCCCCAGCCCTCTGATCTTCTTTGACTGCTGGTCTCTTAAGATCCTCAGTACTAACTTTCTTTTGAACCAAACATTGTGCACACTACTGAGGGTAAGCATCCTGAGCAGATTTACAAAACATCTGGGGCACACACTACCCAAGAAATAAATGATGATCAGGCTTACAGGACCACTAGAGCCAGTCTTTATTTGGACAGCACCTGTGTTGCAGCTCAGGGGGACTCAGTATGCTGGAGGGAGCGCTTCTAGAGTGAGTGGAGAAGTGGCAGGGGCGTGGTGCTTATATGGCAGCTGCAGGCCTGCGATTGGTTCAAATAGAAGCCCATAATTGGACAGGAGAGCCTCAGCTGTCTGTCATGGACATGATCCAAGGAGGGGGCTGAAACCAGGGAATCTTCTGGAAGGCTAGGTATGGGGCTTGGGGATCTCTCCAGATCCCTCCCTCCCTGATTTTACCAAACCAGGGATCAGGGTGTCTCTTCCCCTGCTTCAAAAAGGCAGGCAGAGGGGTGTGACAGTCCCCAGCCAAGGTTCACCCCAGCCTCCAGCCTGCTGGGGTTGGGGGGAGAGTTGGACACTTCTTGCCTTTCTCAAGGCCAGTGGGTCTGAGACAGGCCTGGGTCAATGCAGAGGGAACGGGCCCTGCACAGATCTCTGCCCCTTACTGCCTCTGGCCACCTGCCAACCCTTCGGGTTCCTCCTCTGAGAAGAGAGCTGCTGTGCTGGGCTGGGAGGCCGTGAACCAGAGGTGACTCCGCATAAGAGGTATGAGTTTCCTTCTCTTTCCTTTGCCTTCCTTTCCCTCCCTCTCTGCTCTCCTATCCTCTCCTCTCCTCCTTCCACCCAGATTTAACCTAGGCCTTTTGCACTGAGCTGCATTCTCAGCCCTTTTTAAAATTTTTGATTTAAGACAGGGTCTCACTAAATTGTACAGGGTAAGCTCAAACTTGCAGTCCTCCTGCCTGAGGCTCCCAGAGTTCTGAGATTAGACTTGAGATGCCCCGTGTGGATAAGGATACCTTTTAAGGTCTTGGAGAATAGTGGAGGTGGAGCCCCCTATGGCTGGGACAGGCTAGTAATGGGGCTAGGAAGGTGGTAGGCTCTGGTAGCCACAGCTTGGCTCACTTTCACTTCCTGCCTTTTCATCATCCAGTCCAGGTAGTGGGGTGCATGGAGGTGTTGTGTCCAGATTGTGAAGTCTCAAACACCACCAGGAAGCCGTTTCCGATGCAAGCACACGAGGGTCATTTATTTAAGCTCGAGCAGGGGCTCCCAACGGTCACCGACGCAGTGGATCAGAATTGAGAGCCCCGAATTTCAAATTAGCTGGGGTTTTTATTGTGGTTACAGCAAGGTTTGGAGATTTTCCGTTTAGCAGTTACATGATTGGTTGGCATTTAGCAGCATGAAGTGTACATTTCTGATTGGCTAGGCTCATCGGGGTTGAGGGGCGGCTACACGTAGGTTTTACGGGGGAAAAGAGGGACAAAGGTTAGTGGTCGACTGTCACGTATTGATGGTCACCAGACATCTGCAGCTTGTTCTAAAAATTGTGGTGCCCGGAACATCAGTTCCGGGCAAACAAGGAGTTGAGTAGTTTACTTGGGGACTTTAGGTCTGTTACAGATTTTTATCTAGTGTCCCAAAGCAAACACATTTTAACCATTAATTTGAGAGGCTAGGGGAGTGGTGGATTTTAGCAAAATGGAGTCGCTTTGGTCTCACAGAGGGGTGTCTGTGTGTGTGGGGGAGGTGAGCTGCACCAGCTCAGGACCTCCTCTAATGTCGCTTCCCTCAGGTCCAGCACCCCAGAGCCCAGCCTGGGGCCTGAGCAGCTGGTAGGTAAAGCCAGGACCATTGGTAGAGCCAATCAGACCCATATAAAGCCAATGATCCTCAGTCCAATCTTAGGTCAGGTGTCTGGGATGCTTGCCGCCCTCATGCGTGAGCCATCTCAGGGGGACACTGCAGAAGACCCTGGATCCATTGTTGCCTCCCCAGGATGCTGGCCCAGCCCTCAGTGAGGAAGCAGCCTCCCTCAGAACAAGTCAGGGACAGTCCTGAGACCCCAGGCTTGAGGAACTGGGCTCCAGAGCCCAAGAATGTGGCAAGACAGAAGGTGGGTCTGAATGACCTCTGAAGGAGAAGGCAAATCTTGGCACCCTGTGACCAAGCCAACTGGTGTACACAGCAGAGTGCAGCCCACCTTGCCTGCTCCTGAGGCCCCCTCCCAGGGCTGTGCAGTGAGCTGGGTCTGCAGCCTGAGCACTTGCCTTTGCCACGCAGCCGCATCTATGGCCAAGTACCTGGCTCCAGGCTTCTGCGCGCTGGGCTCACAGGAGAGGCCACAGTCCCGAGAGTCCCTTGGAGGGCTGCCTACTTCTGCAGATGGAGTTAGGTGTGAAGGAGGAGAAGGGCTTCGGGGATCTCGCCCTGCTCCAAGGCCTGGCTTGGGTCTCCTGTGAGGGCCAGGATCTGGGCTCAGCAGGCTCAGAGCAGACACCTTGTCCCTCCCTTTCCAGGATGTCCACTGTCAGCCGCTCTGCCCTTTCCTGACCTTTCCCAGAACCAGGAAGCAGCACACAACCTACAGGGATGGAAGCTTCTTTGCTTTCTGCAAGTACAGGGAAGTGACCTCACTGTACTACCCCCACTCTGGACTCAGCATGAGAGATGCCAGCTTTCCCACACCTGAGCTGCTGACACAGAAAGGGCCAAGGAGAAGAAGGGAAGAGGAGCAGTGAGCCCTTAGAGGAAGGCTTGTCCCTGCCAACTGTGGAGCTCTGGGAATGCCCCTCCTGTCCCCAGCACCTTCACCTCGCTCTACCTTGCACAATCCTGACCTGGTGGAGGGAGGGGTTGAAATATTGCCAATTGCTTCTGAAGGAGTTGCTGGCAATTGCCTCACGCTTCCTGGATTTAGCAAAGGATGGGCCAGCCCATGCTAGAGGGGAGGCAGCAGCCCGGCGGCCCATAAATAGTTCCCCCAGGTTGGGCTCCTCAGCACTCCTCTTCCTCCTCCAACACCTGCCAGCCCAGCAGCTGTCCTGAAGCCATGACCCTGGGTCTGCTGTGTTTGGGCCTCACCCTGCTGGGCGCCCTGCAGACGCAAGCACAGGACTCCTCTCCACCCCTGATCCAGAGCCCACCTCTGAGCAAGGTCCCCCTGCAGCCAGACTTCAAGGATGAGCAAGTAAGGGTTTTAAAAGGGCAGCTGCAGGTAGGGCCCAGGGGACAGGGACAACGAAAACAGAGCAGAGCAGACGGGAAGAGAGGGAAAGGAATATTCAGCCATGGTGCTGGTAGGAGCAGGACCCAGGGAGTCCCGGCCCAGCGCATGCCATGTGGGGACACCTTCAGTCCCTCTGAACAGAAGAGAAAACAGGCTTAGGAGGGCCACCAGCCACTTGTCCAGGGCCATCCTATCCCCGACAATTCAGGGCTAACTCCTCACCCAGGGTCCCTCCTGGCCCCGGAGGACTCATCTCCTACCAGCTTCTCAGGGCAGTTCCATTCCTGGGCTCTGGCACTCAGAAGTCCCAGCAGGGACAGCGAGGGAGGGGTGGCTCTGGGGCTGTCCCTGGGCTCTGCCTGTCATGGCCTCTTACAGTTCCAGGGGAAGTGGTACGCCATAGGTGTGGCGGGGAATGGATTTCAGAAAGAAAAAGAAAGGCAGTCAAACATGTACAGCGATACCTACGAGCTGAAAGACGACCACAGCTACAATGTCACCGCCACCCTGCTCAGGTGAAGCCACTACCTCCTGGGGATCTCAGAGGCAAAATGGTATCACAGCCAAGGGGTGACCAAGGCTGAGGGATGCTGTCCTTCCTCTCACCTCTCTGCACCAAAGTCCATCTTCCTCCCGCTCTTCCATCCTTCTCTTCCTCTCTCCTCTGTTCCTTCCTTTCTCTCTTCCTCCCTCACTTACATCAATATTCAAGAGTGGCTCCAGCATAAACACACAGGCAGTGGGAACAGGACAGAAGACAAACAGGGACACTGGACCCAGACTGGGACCCCACCAAGGCCCCCATCTCAGCTTGAAGGGAAGGGACCTTAAAGGAGCCAGCGTCTCAAGTATGCAGGTGCATGGCTGTCATCATGCACCAGCTCAGGGGCTGAGGCAGGAGGATGGCAAATTGGAAGCCAGCGGGGAAACTTAGGGAGATCCTGGGGTAGGAGAGGTGGGAGGACCCTGAAGGTGAGGCTGGGCAGTCCAGGTGGGAGATGACACAGGTGAGGCAGATGAGGCCTCGGAGGGTAGAGCCCGGGCTCTCCTGCCTGCAGTGAGTTCTGGCTCTGGTCGCTGGATGGACTGGAGTTGGAGGATCTGAGAATCGAGGGGGCTAGGGAGGGAAGTTTGGAGACTTGGGTCTGGGTACAAGGGTGGGGTGGGTTCTTGGGAGAAGTCAGGTGTAGCCCAGGGGCTAGGGTGGAGCTTGGCATGGAGCAGACTGGAAGCTCAGAGGAAACTGACAGGAGAGAAGGGCGGGGGGAGCAGCAGGATAAGAGCGGGGCTCGGTGCCTGGGGTCTGTGTGGAGGGCAGGCGGCCCCGGGAGGCTGCAGAGGAGCCAGTGGGTACTGGAGGGAGGGTGCAGTGACCCTGCAGAAGCCCAGGCCGAGGCTCAGAGGAGAAGGCCCAGGGCCTTGGAGAGGGTGGGGCAGGCCGTCACGGGCCTTCTGGACAGGGCCTCACAAGCCTGCACGGGCCTGACCCCGATTCATCCAGCCCCGGGCACCTAGTCTGTGTCCTCTCCACGCTCACCTCCCAACACCTCTCCCTCCCACAGGGGCCAGGTCTGTGACCACTGGATCAGGACATTTGTCCCAAGTGACCAGCCCGGCCACTTCACCCTGGGCAATGTGCCACGTGAGTCCTGAGTGAGGGGAGCCATGGGGTTGGCACTGAGGGTGCTGAGTCCTCAGAAAGAAGACAGGCCTTCCTGCCCTTCGAAGAGATGTTGCCCTGTGGGGAGAAGACCCTGCTGATTTGTCATGGAGGGAAAGGACAGTCCCTCTTCCTGGCCAGGGAAGGGACGACCCTTGTCTTTCACACTGCAGGCTATCGTGCCATCCAGAGCTACTTTGTGAGAGTGACAGCCACCAACTACAATCAGTTTGCTATAGTGTTTTTTCAGAAGATGTCCAGAAATACAGTGTACTTCAAGACTGTCCTCTATGGTGGGTCCTCACTCTACCCCCTCCAGGAACTGGGCTCTTGGTCACACGTGAGGAAGGGGATCCATATCTCCAAAGATCCCTAAGTCTTTTCCAGTTTGAGTCCCCGACAGATCCTCCATGGGAGAGGGGTCTGAGGGCTCCTTCACTCATTGACAGCATTTATGGAGTGAACCATCAACCAGGCATGGTTGGCCACAACTGTAATCCTAGCACTGTGGGTGGTGGTGGGGGATTGGGAGTTTAAGGCCAGCCTGAACTACACAACAAGACCTTGTCTCAAAAATTAAAAAAAAAAAATTAGAGTGTCTTTCTGTTGCTCACTCACTGTCATGTTGGCCCCAGGGAGAACCAAGGAGCTGAGCCCTGAAGTGAGGCAGCGCTTCGTCGACTTTGCCAAGTCTCTGAGCCTCACTGATGACAACATCGTCTTCTTTGAGCCCATTGGTAATGAGCAGTGGGAAGGGGATGTGGGGTCTGCCTAGTCCTGATGCTGCCCACCAGGGAAAGGGGACAGGAGAGACTCAGTCCCCAGCTCCAGTCACTGGAGAGGTAGTGGCTCCCACTTTGGAGTCTGAGGGTCCCCAGGGACCCTGCCCCAAAAGATCCCCCTGATAGTTTAGCCAAGCCCTCCTCAGATGGCAGTTTCAGGCCCAAGTTTCCCAGTCTCAGTGCCCTGAGCCACCTCATCTCCATACCATGGGCCTTGCTGTACCTGGCCACCTCCCCTTTCCCTGGTGGTGGCTCATTCCAGACCTGGGAGATGTCCTTACTTTCAAGGGGCCTGGCCTGATTTAAGGGAACCCTAGATTGTCTGAAGCTGGGCCAGGCTGGGCCTGAGGCAGCCGTGGGCAGTTCAGGGGTCTTGGCAGCCAGATATTCTGACCCCACACCCACTCTTGCCTGCTCTCATGCTCTTTCTCCCCACAGAGAAGTGCATCGATGGCTGAGCGGGCAGTGAGTACGCCTGGGCAGGGGGCTGATGGGAGGCCAGGGCAGGGTGGGCTGGGGGTCTCAGGGCTGCCTTTATTCCTCCCCTTCCTTGGCTGCAAACCCCATCTTTCCTCTGCTGTCCCCTCAGCTGCTTCCTGTCTCTCCACGCCCTGTTCTTCCTGTCACTTTGCCCAAGGTGCCAGCTGGCTGCTCCACCAGCCACGATGCCATGACAGAGCTGGAAGACTTTCCCAACAGCACAGTGCTGCCCATCCATCACCCCAAAAGCCACCCCCCTGATGGAGCCCTCCTTGTCTGCTAAATAAACAGATGCCCCCATCTCTGAGTTTGTACTCTTTGTCCCCTGGGCCATGGTAAGGGAGAAGGGCAAAGGGTCACTCACACCAGCACCAGCATAGATTCTGCTGTCCCCAGAGGCCAGCCTGATGTTAGGGTGCAGAGAGAAGAGGACTCCAGGCTCCCCTGCCATCCTTGTCACCATCGGTTGTCCCGAGTTGGTCCTGGGTTGAATGATGTCATACTCCTGCCTTGACTGGGTTCCTAGTCTCAGCCTCGGGCCTTCTTGCCATTCACAAGGGCTGATTTAACTTCCTCCTGAAAGCCCCACCTCTAGATACCATCTCCAGGGGTCATAGGTTCCAACTTATAGGTCTGGAGGGGACACACATCCAAACCACAGCAGCACCACCCCTGATGGAGCTTTCTGCCCCCTCACCTGGCCCTGCAGGAAGGAAGCTGTGCCCACTTGCTTGGCTCTTAAATGAGAGCTGGACTAGGATCAGGGAGGAGTCAGGGAAGCAGCAAAGACAAAGGATGCGGTTGGAACAGGGCTGGTGGAGAGGGTGGGCTGATACCATCAGAGACTGGGGCCGAGAGACGGGCAGGAATGGGGGTCTCAGATTGGCTCAGAATTGCGCCTAGGACTCCAGACACAGCTGGTGCCTTGGGCCTGTCATCTCCTGCACTCCTGGTCATCAAGCAGGATTGAGCCCAGTGCTGGCCACAGCTTGAAGGTCTCTGCAGGGATCCAGGGCAGTGAGGCCGAATGAGCACTGGACAGCAAGGCAAGGGGCATCTTGGCCAGGACAAAAGGGGAACTTGCCAAGTACTTGGGCAGAGGGGCTGGTCATGGATTTCCCCCTAGATTTAAGGAAGGATGGGTCATCTTATGCTAGAATCCAGTAGTTGCTGAGTGTACGAGTCAGTGCTCACTAGACAAACAGACTTAATGTAAGACATATAAATATATATGGGTTTACAAGACAGACTTACAGTGGCTGCCCACAGAGTCAGGTGTGGAAGAATGCAGAGGCGTCATTTGCAGACTGGAGATCTGAAGGAGCCAGTAAAAGGCTGAAGGCCTGCAGCTCACTGTAGTGTCCCATGTGAGTCCCTACCAGGAGGCCGAACTAACCCTAACCCCTGTTCTTCCTTTCTCTTCTGCCCAATTGCCATCTGGCTGCCCCATGGGCACAATATTGGTAAAAGAGCAAGAGGACTCTTCTTTCAGCACAGTGCTGTGCTCCCATCTTGACAAAAGCCACCCTGATTCTGGAGCCCTCTTTGCCTGCTAAATAAATACATGCGGCCAGGTGTCTGAATCTACGCTTCTTGTCTATGGGGCCACGAGGGAGGGAAAGGCAAAGAGGGGCTTCACACCAACACTGTTCACCGGTTACGCTGTCCCCAGAAGCCAGCTGATATCACTGTGCAGAGAGAAGGCACAGGGCAAAGAAGACTCTAGGATCTTCCGCCACCATCATCCCCATGGCTGCCTTGGATCCCTCCTGGGAGGAATGATGTATACTTACTTCCGCTTTGACTGGGTACTCCTATTAAAAAACCCAGGATAGGTCCAGAGTTTCCTAAGAGGAGTAACCTGAACAACAGAAGCACTTACCAGGAGGTATCTCATGCCTGCACTTGGCAATTGGCAGGGGTTCCCAGACAGCAGTCCCAACAAGGCTAGGGAGCTAATCCTAACTCTAACCCTAACCCTATTCCTAACCCTAACCGTCAGCAGAAAATTGCATACATGTAGCATACCATGCATGTATTTCCTTCTGGTTCTGGGGGCCAAAGTTTAAATCAGATTCACTGGGCTTAGACCACTGTTCCCAGGGCTGTGCTACCTGTGAATCGCTAGGTAAGAATCCCCTTCCCAGGCTTTTTCAGCTTCTGGAGCTGCCTTCTTTGCATTCCTTGGCTCGAAACTCCTTTCTCCTTCAAAGATGCAGTGTAACATCAACAAACCCCTGTTCCTCCTGGGTCCTCACTTTCAGGCAGTGATGGTTAGCTGACCTGTGGAGAGCGGTGTTAGCCATAGAGGCTCCATGTTAAATCTTACCCTCCATTGTATAGAGCAAGGAAACGATGTTACGAGGAACCACGTCCTTGCCAAATTAGATGTTTACCTTCAGAAATTGTCCTGGAACATGACGAACGTTTTGTAAACCCGAGAAACAAGAAAGCCCATGAGGGTGGGGAATTTCCAAAGAACTACAGAACAAGGAAGCAGGTGTCTTTGGATAAGGGTCATGATTAATAACCCAACTCACCTGTGATAAAAAGGGGAGGAGAAGAAAAAAAGCGTGGCAGCAGTCTCTCTGGGAGGCTCCCGACTCGATCTCTGCATCTTTCTTCTTCTTCATCCTCACTCCCCCATTCAGGTGCTGTTTGACAAGTGACGGCTGGCTCTGTCACTGACCTACATAACAGACCTTTCTCTGAATTTCTTTGGACACTAACTCAGTGGTCCCTACTGTCACTCCACCTGGTTCAGGGAGCAGAAGGGGGCGCTTCTCAAAAGCAAGCCTGTTGTGTCCCCTATAATGGGCTGCAAGCTCCACCTTGCCTCCACCTTCCTGTCACCACCTGGAACATATACCGGGGCCTGGGCCCCCACTGAGGATGGCCTACCCTCTTGGCATCCAGTGGGACACCAGGCCACTGCTGCAGCCATGGGTCCTCCTGGCCACTACAGCTACAGGAGTCCCAGGAAGTGAGCTGCTGTCCCCTGGGATGTGGGCCTGACTCTCACCTGGTCCCCTGGGCAGGATCACACCTCCAGGTGTCCTCCAGGAGTGAAGCTTGCTGGTGAGGAGACATGGTGCCTTTCCCCCTTCCCTCTCCAGTAAATGGGAAGAAGAGTGGTATGGTTTACATCTAGATGTCTACCTAAAGCTTCATGTGCTCATAGGTGGGCTTTTGGGAAGTGGCTGGATCATGGGTGTGTGATACTAGGATTAAGGGTATGATAACTGGATTAGTCCACTGATAGGTTTAGCATAGTTCTGGGAGTGGATAATGGGGAGCCGCACCCTGGGTGTGGGTGGCACCATCCAATAGGCTTGAAACCTGAATGGGATAAAAGGGAAAGGAAAGCTTGATGTTTGCTGCCTTTTGCCTGCACTGCCATGGACTGTTTCTCCTCTGTGACCCCCCTCTGCCATGCCACCCTGCCTTGGAGCCAGCGGACTATGGACTGAAACCGCTACAAACTGTGAGCCAAAACTTTCCCCTAACTTGTGGGTGTCTGGCATTTTGTCCCAGCAACGAGAAAAGTAAGAAAGACAGGGAATGATAGCATCAGGGTGACCTTGGCAGCCACACAAGCATGCTGCCTGGCTCAAGACCTCCACTGTCCACTGCAGCGCCCACAGCAGGGGGTCAGCAAGTCCTTTCCATATTGAGACCATGATACACAGTCCTGGAGGCCCTCGGCAACAGCCAGACCTGGGAGAGCCTCACATCCCTTTCCTGCCGGTGCCCACATATGGGGCTCTGCCTAACAGGCACTATCCCCACTTCCGTTGTCTAGGGCTCCAGCCTGGGCTGATTTCCGTGTGTGGACAGTGTAGTCTCTGAGAGCCCTAAGAGAAGTGCTGGAGAACAGGGAGGGAGGCCCAGGACTGATAAAGGGTGTGTGTGGGTCATCTCTGCTGGGGCCGGGGAGATACAGAGGAGGTAGGCGATGGGGCCTAGGCAGGACTTTCCACAGGAGACCTTGGAAGCCCCAGGTTTGATTTTCCTCAGATGAAGTCAGGAAAGTGGCAGGATGGGACACAGTAGGGGTCCCAGGCTGCCCTGGCCCTCTTTTGGGCCCTCTGGGATTTGCTAGTTCTAGCCAAGGGCCCAAGCTTCCACTGCCTGCGCTTCTAGGTGGCAGCCCAGGGATGGCCCTGCCCAGCCACTCAGAGAGGGACGGGTCTTGGGAAGGCCAGCAGGGGGCAGAGTTCAACAGTGGTATAGGGGAGCCCATTCCTGGGGGCGGAGTTTGACAACTAGGTGGCAGCAGTGTCCTCGTGGATGGCAGGGCTGGGCAGAGCTCGGCCTCTGTACTCCAGCCCAGAGGCGGAGCACGGGCCACCAGGATGGATTCCATCCTTTGGTCTGGAGCTGCATCTGCTGCTTCCACCATTGCTTGAGTTCACTTTGTAGCCCAGGTTGACCTCCAAATCATGTTGCTTCTCCTGCCTCAGCCTCCTGAGTGCTGGGATTTCATGTGTGCCCCACCACTTCCAACTCACTTCTTGTTTTGAGACAGGGCCTTGCTAAATTGCCCAGAAGGGACTTGAACTTGAATTTGCAATCCTCTTGTCTCAGCCTCTCGGAATGCTGGGATTACAGTTATGCACCTGGACCCCTTTCTTCTCTTGATTTTATTTCCCCCGCTTTCTTTTTTTTTTTTTTTTTTGCAGTCCTGGGTTGAACCCAAGGCCTTGGACATATTAGGCAAGTGCTCTGCACTGAGCTACACTCACGCCGAACCTCTTTTTCTAAACTCTTACGGGATCTTTTCCTCATTTCCTTGTGGCCTTTCTGCAGGGGACTTGTGGATGTGGATGTGGGGAGGATGTGACCTAAAACAGGGGGCTGCAGGCAGTGGGGAAGAAGTGGCTCCTCCAGCAGTATGGGAAGAGGTTGCATGAAAGCGGGGACCCAGTACGGTCAGGAAGAGGTGGCCAGAGCAGGAGGGGCACCAGGGATGTAGGTAGAAGAGTCTGGGGAGCCAGGGCCCACTCAGTCCTGCGCACTAGGGCTGAGCTCCTATAGAGGGACATTTGGGGCTGCAGTGACTCAGGGGAGCCAGTGGCCACCTGAGGGACGCTGGGCCCAGCGGGAGGTACCCAGTCCTGTGTCCTGTGTCTTCTGTCCTGCTTGCTCATCATGTCACTACAGAGCATGCCCCCTGTGAGAGGTGATTCTGAGTCCTGGGCAGGAAAAAAAGGGTGACTGTACCTGCAGATGGTGTTTCCGCCCCCAGAAGCTCACACTTCTGTCCAGACTGCTGACCTGGCCACTGAGTATGGGGATCCAGAGGGGCCGCTGCCAGGCCAAGCCCAAGGTTTCCACAGCTGTTCTCAGAATTGTTCTCCTCTGGTCTTTGCCCACAGACAAGATGGTGATAGAGCTGAGAGGACAAGGTGTCTTATCTAGTGCCAGGGCCATGACAGGGAGAGGCTTCCTGACCAGTGCCACAGGAGCCCAGAGCCACCGATGGATCCCTGGATAACGGGTGCCCACTGTAAACATTGTTCTGAGTTGTGGCCTTCAGTCTCCTGGCCACTGTGGCCACTCCGGGCCCTCTCATCTGCCAGAGCATCCAGGCTGTGTAGCAAAAGCCACTAGTACCCCTCCCTGGGGACAAGGAACATAGACCTGGAGGCCTGTGACACCTGGCCCCCATGCTGAAGGTGGCCTAGCTTCTTGTGGATCCAATGGGAGACCAGGACACTGCTGCAGCCATAGGGCCTCCTGGCCACTACAGCTACAAGAGTCTCCATAAGTGAGCTACTGTCATCTGGGATGTGGGCCTGACTCTCACCTGGACTCCTGGCCAGGATCACACCTCTGGGTGCCATCCAGGAGTGAGTTTGCTGGTGAGGTGACTTTGTGCAGCCCTCCCTTTTCCTAGTAAGTACACAGGATGGGGAGTGATGGCAGCTGGGCCACCTTATCCCGAAGGCTTCTCTGATGAGCAGCCATAGGAAGCATGCTGCCTGGCTCGGCGAGCTTCACATCCTCTGTAGCACCCTTAAAGGGGGCCGCCAGTCCCTTCCATATAGAGACCACGGTACACAGTCCTGGAGGCATAAGAGAAGATTCAGAACTGGGGAAGTCTCACCCCCGTCTCCTGTGTCTGCCCCGCTGTGAGGCTTCACTGTCTAGGGCTCAAGTGTGGTCTGATTTCCACCTATGCACAGAGTTAGTCACCGAGGATCCCTAGAGAAGCGCTGAAGCCCTGGGAGGGAGGTTGAGGACAAGGTAGGACAGGTGGGGCTCAACCCCTGGGGGTGGATGAGGTTTGGAAGAGGTACAGGAAGTCCCAGGGCAGTTGGGGGAGTCTCTGGAAGCCATAGGAGGCCTTGGAAACAGCATGTCTGACTTTGCTCAGGAAAGCAGTGAAAGCACAGGATAGGTCAGAGTAGGGGTCCCGGTCTGCCCCGGACCTCTTCTGGACTCTTTGAGGCTTGCTTCCCCTCACTGCCGGCCCAAGCCTCCACGATCTGTGTTTCTACGTAGCAGCCATGGGATGACCTCTCCCTGTGGCCTAGAGAGGGGCAGGGCTGTGGACATGGGCAGTGGGCAGGGTGCAGCACTGGGGTGGGTGTGGCCCCGTCACGGGGGCTGTGTTTGGGGAGGGGCCTTGGTCCTGTTGGTGGGGCCAGCGCCCGTGGGTCTGGGTCATTGCTACTCCACATCCTGGGTCCGGGCCCTGGCCTCCAGGCTGCAGTCCGTCTTTCCGGTCCACCCTTCCTGCCCCGTGTTCTGTCCACTGCTTCCACGTCCTCATGGCCCGCTTTCCAGCATGCTTGTCTCCATGTTCCATCCTCACACTGCCCCTGTGGTGCAGAGACTGGAATGTCCTGCTCAACGGGGGCCTGGGGACGCGGGTGGAGGAGGGCACCGAAGGCGAAGACCAGGGTTTGGAGCTTTCCTGAACCTGCCCTGGGGATGCCCTGACTTTTCCTGGGAGCTCTCTATCAGAGGTAAAAATATTTTTAATTGTCTGTATTTCGTTAACCACCCTAATAAACCCTTATTCTTAGACTTAACTTGGTCAACGAGCAGACAAGGACTCGCAGGCTGTACAAAGACTCACTCCAGAGATAAGTCTTCTCGAATACTGGGAAGCCAACAGGCTAAAAATCACTAGAGAGAGATACAGAGGGAAGCGGGAATAAGAAGGGAAATGGGAGGGGACAACAGTTGGGAGTGGGATGAGGTAGATTGCTCGGGATAGACTGTGAACCCCGGATCCCAGGCGTGGAAGATGGGGGAGGGAATGGAAACACACAGCCTCTAGGCTGGAGTGCGCCTGCCTCTGGACGGGCGGCACTCTCGCGAGAGTTTGGATTAAAAGCCTCGCTTCGCTGTCTCTGGAGTCTACTTTCTTTTGCTTTTGGTCTGGGCAAGTGGGATCATTTCTCGCGCTCTCAGTGATTCAGGGTGAACACCGGCGAATGGGTCCCTGGAAACCATAGCATTGTTGAATAGTGAGGAACCTGCCCTGATTTACAGATGGGGAAACTGAGGCAGCTTCAGAGATGCACGTCTGTTTGTATTTGTTTCAGTTGCTTCCTTCAGCTCCTGAGGAAATGAAGGTGCCTGAAAGGGACCAAGCAGAGCTTGGCCAGTGTGGCTGTGCGGGAGGGACTGACTGGCCTGGTACCTGGTTCCTCCTCCCTGCTGAGTCAGGCCTGGCCCCCGGCCGCCTGGTATTGTTGCTGGGACCTTTACAAAGGACCACTGAGGGAGGGAACCACCAACCATACACTCTCTTTTTACTTTCTCTTAAACTTAGTTCTCTACCTGTAATATCGTGATAAAGATCGCCGCCCCCAACATTGAAACGTGTTAGAATTAAATGAGAAAATTAATGGAGAGAGGTTGGAAATTAGTGAGGCTGACGCCTGGCAGATCCATTTTTTACTCACCTCGAAACTACTGGATCCTAACCTGACTCATCCTGTGTTAAATCCAGGAAAGAAACCCATGACCAGCCCCTCTGCCCAAATACTTGGCCAAGTTCCCCTTTTGTCCTGGCCAAGATGCCCCTTGCTTTGCTGTCCAGCGCTCATTTTCCCCCACTGCCCTTGATCCCTGCAGAACCGTCAAGCTGTGGCCAGCTCTGGGCGCAGTCCTGCTCAATGACCAGGTGTGCAGGGGACAGCCAAGCACCAGCTGTGTCTGGAGTCCTAGGCCCAAGTCTGAGCAAATGTGAGGCCCACAGTATGGCTCAGCCTGGGCTGCGAGATTCTTGTTCCTGCCCAGCTCTCAGCCCCGGTCACTGATGGTTCCAACCTCACCCTCTCCACCAGCCCTGCCCTGACCCCATCCTTTTTCTCTGCTACCTCCCAGCCTCCTTCTTGACACTGCCCTGATCCTAGTCCAGCTGTCCTTTAAGGGACAAACAAGTGGGCACAGCCTCCCTCCCCTAGGGCCAGGTGAAGGGGAAGAGAGCCCCATCAGGTATGGAGCTGCCGTGGCTTGGATGTGTGTGTCCCCCCCAGGCCCATTAATTGGACACTAAGGCCCCAGGGGCCAGTATCAACAGCTAGGGATTCTGGAAGGTAGATAACTCAGCCCTTGTGAATGGACATATGAAGACTGCCCTGAAGGAGGGCCCAGGGCTGGGACTAGGAGTGCAGTCAAGGTGGGAGTGAATGCCACACTGTTTGTCCCGACAGACTCAGGACAGCCAGTGGCAACAGGTGGCAGGGAGCCTGGACACCTCCGCTTTGGCTTTCTCCCTGCACCCGAATGTCAGGCTGCATTCTGGGGACAGCAGGCCCTGGGAGGCTGGTGTGAGTCCTCCCTTTGCCCTTTACTTCACGGTAAGGGTACAAGGAACACAGACTCAGAGACAGGGTGCATGTGTTTAATGAGCAGACAAGGGGCTCCATCAGCAGGGTGGATTTGGGGTGACGGGTGGGCAGCACTCTTCTATGAGAAGGGTCTTCCAGCGCTCTCACTGTCCCTGTGGCAGGTGGAGGAACTAGATGACACCTTGGGAAGCAGACAAGAAACATCTGAGTGGGGACAGCAGAGTAAAGATGGCTGGGTTCAGGCTGGGGTGTGGGGAGGAACAAAGGCAGCCCCGACACCCCCAGCCCACCCTGCCCTGCCCTCCCATCAGACCCCTGCCCAGCCATACTCACAGCCTGTTCAGCCATCGATGCACTTCTCTGTGGGGAGAAAGAACATCAGAGCAGGCAGCTGTGCGTGTGTGTGTGTGTGTGTGTGTGTGTGTGTGTGTGTGTGTGTGTGTGATCTCTGGCTGCCAGCAACTCTGTGCTGCCCCTGGCTACCTCAAACCCAGCCTCGCCCAGCTGCAGAGGACGTAGGGGTTCCCTGAATTGAGGCCAGGCCATATAAAAGTAGGGACATCTCTCATACTAGGAATCAGCAGGCCCAGGGGAGAGGAGCTGGCCCAGGACAACATGACCCAAGGTAGAGAGGCGGTGGCCTGGGACAGCAAGACCTAAGGTATGGAGAAGTGGCCCAGGGTATTGAGTCCCAGTGCATGGAGAGGACGTGGCCCAGGGAAGTGTGATTGAAGAAACTTGGACCTGGGCTTCAAGCTGTCTTCAGGGCAGGGCTTGGCTAAACTATCCAGGGGACCACTTGGGGCCAGGCTCCCTGGAGGCCCACAAACCCCAAGGTGGGAGCCCCTACCCCTCCACTGGAGCAGGGGACTGAGTCTCTCCTGTCCCCTTTCCCCTTTCCCTGCTGGGGAACCATCAGGCTGGAGAACCGCACATCCCCTTCCCCCTCCCCAGCTGGCCGTTACCGGTGGGCACAGGAAAGATGATGTTGTCATCAGTGAGGCCCAGAGACTTGGCAAAGTTGACAAAGCGCTGCTTCAGTTCAGGGCTCAGCTCCTTGGTTCTCCCTGTGGTCAACATGGCAGTGTGTGGCCAACAGAAAGACACTATGTAGTTATTTTTTAAAGTATTTTTGAGACAGGGTCTTGTTACTTAGTTCAGGCTGGCCTTAAACTCCTAATCATCTGGCTCAGCCTCCTGAGTGCTCAGATGGTAGCTGTGCCCAACCACACCTGGTTCGGTCCATAACTACTGTCGAAGGAGGCCTCAGACCCCTCTCCCATGGAAAGACCTCCTCCCCGAGGGAGACTTGAGCTGGAGAAGACTTAGTGGGTATTTGGGGGTAGGGGACCCCTCCCCAGAGTGTCACCATGTGCCAGGTACCCCACAGGATGGAGTGAGGACCCACCATAGAGAGTGGTCCTGAAGTTCACTCTGTTTCTGAACTTCGTCTCAAAGAACACCATGGCGAACTCTTTGTAGTTGGTGGCTACCACTCTCACGGTGTAGCTCTGTCCTGGAACGTACTCTGCAGTGTGCATGGTGAGGGTCACACTTGTCCTGGTTGAGGAGAAGGTGCTGTCCCCATCCCCCCCGATAGTCAGCAGGGCCTTCTCCGCACAGGACAGCGTCTGTATGGAAGAGCAGGCAGGCCTACCCCCTTCCAAGGGGACTTTGCCTCTGCACCCAAACCCCATGGCCCGCCTCACTCAGGACTCACGTGGCAGATAGCCCAGGGTGAACTGGCCGGGCTGCACACTTGGGACAAAAATTCGGATCTGGAGATCACAGTTCTGGCCCCTGTGGGTGAGAGAGATGTTCAGAGCTGACCAGGGACGTGACATAGCCCTGGTCCCCTTTGACTGGACAAAGTGGGACCAGGGCTACGGCTGGATTCTGAGGCCGCAGTTCAGCCCAGCCCATGATGGCCTGTGCCCTACTAGGACAGGCAGCCCACCCGGCCTGCTCCATGGCCCTGGCCCTTCCCCTCTGAGCCTCTTCCTGTTCTGCTGTGGGGGCCACTTGACAACCCTCCCTCCAGCACTCACTGTCCCCTCTGCTGCCTCCCTGGGGCGGCCGGTCCCCCACACAGACCCCAGGCACTGAGCCCTGCTCTTTCTTATCTTGCTGTTCCCCTTGTCCATCTCTCCTGGCTGAGCTTCCAATCTGCTCCATGCCAAGCACTGCATTAGCCCTTGGGCCACATCCAACTTCTTCCATGACTCCACCCTAAAATATGGAGTCACACTCCTGTACCCTAAAACAAAAACCCGGAAACCTGCCTTCCTTGTGACCCTGGATTTTCAAAAGCTTCAACTCCAGTCCACCCAGTGGTCAGAGCTGGCACCCTCTTCAGGTAGATGAGCCCTAGTTCCTCACTCTGAGTCCTCATCTGCTCCACCTGTGTCATCTCCTACTCGGGGCTGGAGACCTTACCTTCCTGGTTCTCCCGACCTCTCCTGCTGCAGCTGCACCCAGATGCTGGCCCTTGCAGGAGCCAGGCCCTGGCTCAGGGTGAGATGCCCCAGAGACTGGCCTGGGAGCGCTCCCCTCCTGGCTGCTCATCAGCCCCTGGCCAGGTGGCCATGCCTGGGTACTTTGCTGCCTCCTAAGCTGAGGCTCTGACTCAGAGTCTACCAGACCCTGCAGTGGCCCTCAAACTTCCTAATTTTATATTTATTTTTGGTGGTGATGGTAGTGTTAGCAGGGACTGAACTCAGGACTTTCACATGGATCTACCTCATCAGCCCTTTTAACATTTTTTTATTTTGAGACGGGGTCTCTCTAGATTGCCCGTGCTGACTTGTGATCCTCCTGCTTCACCTCCTGAAGTGAGCCTGCTAGGATTACAGACGTGTTGGCTCCTTTAAGGTCACTTCCCTACACATCCCAGATGGAGGGCTCGGGTTGGGTCCCAGGCTGGGTTCAGTGTCCCTCTTCCCCTCTGGAACACCCTAGTCTCTTTCTTTTTCCTGCTTTCTATGTGTGTTTGTGCTGGAGCTACCCATGAATGTTAATGGAGAGAGGGAAAAAGGGAAGAAGGGAACTAGAGTAAAAAGTACAAAGGAAGAGCAGGGGAGAGGAAGATTGCTTTTGTGCGGAGCAGTGAGATGACTGACAGAATCCCTCAGCTTTGGTTACCCCTTGGCTGACATTGGTCTGCCTCTCAGACACCAGGACATAGTGGCTTCACCTGAGCAGAGTGGAGGTGACGTTGTAGCTGTGGTCGTCATTCAGCTTGTAGATGGTTCTGTGCATATTATACTGGCTTTGTCTTCCTTTCCGAAATGAGCTCCCTGCCAGGCCTATGATGTACCACTTCCCCTGGAACTGAAAGGGGCTGATGACAGGCAGGGCCCAGGGATGGCCCCAGAGCCACCCCTTCCATGCTGTCCCTGCTGCTACCCACTGAGCAGCAGTGCTTGGGATCTGGCTGCCCTGAGAGGCTAGCAGAAGTGGGGTCCCTCCAACGCCAGGAGGGACCCTGGGAAAGAAGTTCACCCTGCTTTGTCAGGCATGGGATAGCTAAAGAGAAGCGACCAGTTGGTCTTCTGGAGCCTCAGGTTTCCAGTCTGTTCAGAGGGGCTGAAGATGTCCCTTCCTGGCATGTGTTAGGCCTGATCTGCCTGACTCCTGCTCCTCCCACCCATCACTCCCCTGAGTCCCTTTGCTTCTCCTCTCCTCGGTTCCCATTGTTTCTTCCCCCGGGCCCTTCCCACAACTGCCCCTCAGAGCCCTTACCTGGTCATCCTGGAAGTCTGGCTGCAGGGGGACTTTACTCAGAGATGGGCTCGGGATCAGGGTCGGAGTGGTGTCCTGGGCCTGGGACTGCAGGATCCCCAGCAGGGTGAGGCCCAGACACAGCAGACCCAGGGCCATAGCTTCTGGACAGCTGCTGGGCTGGCAGGTGTTAGAGGAGGAAGAAGGGGGCTGAGGAGACCAACCTGGAGGAACTATTTATGGTCCACCTGGCTGCCTCCCCCTAGGGTTGGCTGATTCATCCTTGTCTAAATACAGGAAGTGAGCCAATTGCCAGCAACTCACTTGGAAGCATGAGGAGAATATCTTTCCCTTTTCCCTCGGTCAGGATTGTGCAAGGTAGACAGAGGAGAAGGCTGCACAGACTGGAGGGACATTCCTAGAGCTCCACAGTTGGCAGGGCCAAGGGCTACCTCTTTTTGCTCACTGTCTTTCCTTCATCCGATTGTCTCTGTCAGTGGGCCAGCAGCTGAGGTCCAGACAAGCTGCCGTCTTTGATCCTGTGCACCTAGAGTGGGGATGTGTGTCAAGGACCCCTCCCTGTACTACAGGAAAGCAAAAATTGTAATGGGCATGGTGGCACATGCCTGTAATCCCAGCACTCAGGAGGCTGAGGTAGGAGGAGTTTGACGTGTACTAGGCCAGCCTGGAATACAAGTCACTTCAAGGCCAGCCTGAACTTCATAGCAAGATAGTGTCTCAAAAACAAGAAAAAAAAAAAAAAAAAAGAAAGAAAGAAGTAAAGAAAACCGAAAAGCATTCTCTGCTTGCATGAGCCCTGTCCTGTTTCCTGCTTCTTGTAAAGGCCAAGAAAGGTTGTTGTTGGAGCTGGAAAAGCAGGCACCGAGTTGGTATTTGTCAAGAAACTTAGATTGTACTTGGAAAGGCCGAAATGGAGGTATCAATGCCCCTGCCTCAGATCTATGTAGAAAAAACTCTGGTGACTATCAAACTGATATTGTTAACAAAGAGGAGGAGATACAAGATGTTTTTCTCAGATCTGAGTTCACCATTGTTCAGAGAAGAAAACTAAATCTCAGCCCCGAGCACTGCGATCACTTTTATGTGGAACAGTATGGGAAATATTTTCCCCAAATTTAACAGCTTACATGAGTTCTGGTTGCCATGATATTAGCTACACACAACACTGTCTCTTATTGGAAAGAACTGGGACTAAGTAATAGATGGGTAGCTAAGGAGAGACACACCCGGACAGTCTAAGGGCAACTTATGGCACAGACAATCTAAGGAATGCACTGCACGCAAGAAAGGACTTTGGTGGAGCAGAAAGAGAAATTCGTTTCATGTTTCCTAAAGTGATTGTTGAGCCCATTCCAACTGGACAAGCTGCTAAGGACTATTTAAGCTTATATGTAACACCAACTGTGCTTGAAAGACTCAGAGCTTTGTGAGCAAAAACCAACAGATCTTTTTATTTAGCTAGCTGATTGGCTGCTGAAAAACAATCCCAACAAACCTAAACTTGATCATCATCAAATTGCAGAAGAGTTGTAGCCTCTGCCAAAGAATAGGTCATGAACTATCTTACTGCAATGCATGATGACCTGGTTTTGGTCCCCATCATCAGAACGAATGAGGTGGGGAGCGGGGAGAAAAGAAAGGAAAAGAGAGGGCCGGGGATTTAGCTCGGTGGTTCTGCCACCTGCCTCGTAAGTACAAGGTCCTGAGTTCGATCCCTGGTACCAAAACAAAACAAAACAAAACAAAACAACAGACAACAAAAAATAAAAAACCTGACCTGAGGTTGGATGGGGCTTTGCAGGCCCCTTTAGTTTTTGCAGACTAAAGCGGCCTGCAAAGTTCCATGCACTGGCTGTACATACCTACTGCTTGGGCCCCAGCCTGGACTCTGGGGTGGCGGGCTTTAAGGCCCAGGGCTTTAGAGGAGTCCCAAGTTGGTGGGTAGGGTGCAGCCTCAGCGCCCCCACTAGACAGCCTTCCATTTGCAGCCCCCCTCCCCGAGCTGGATGATGAAAATGCAGGAAGTGAAGCTGAGCAAAGCTGTGGCCGCCAGAGCCTGGCCACCCTCCCAGGCCCACTCTCTTCTCTCCCAGCTCTAGGACTTCCACCTACACTACTATCTATGACCTTAAAAGGAATCCTGAGCATGGAGTGGTGGTGCACATCTGTAATCCCAGAACTCTGGGAGACTATGTCAAGAGGATAGTGTGAGTCTAGTCTGGACAGTTTATTAAGATCCTGTCTCAAAATAAACAAGTAAACTGCTGAAGATATAGCTCAGTGCAATGACCTTGTGTTAAAACCCAGGCACTGAACAATAATGACAATGACAGGAAAGAAAGTCAGAGAAAACTTTGTGCAGGAACACCTCAGGTCCTGGGTGCCATCTGTGTGTGGCTTCCCAGACCAGCAAAACAGCTTTTCTTGCAAAGGAGGAACTGATGGGTTGGGAGGTGGGCAGAGGTGGTAAGAGAGGGCCAGAGATCTGGGTAGCACCCATTCTCTCTGCACTGATGCAGGCCTGTCTCAGGCCCCCTGCTAGCTCCTCTAGCTCTCTGTCCTCATCTGTGTCTTGGCCTTTGATTTGCTGATACCTGGTGACATCTCATTACCCTCTTTCATCCTGGTCCAGCCCTGGGGTTGGGGACTGAGAAAAGAGGATGAGGCCTGGTGAGAGATTTGCACTCCAGGGGTGTTGAGTCTAAAGCCAAGCTTTGGAGTGTGTGTGTCCCAAGGTAGTCATGGTCATGGCTGTGGCAAAGACCAGGCCAAGCTGCGGCCCATCCCTGCCAACTGGAACTTGAGCTGGAGGGGCAGGGGACCTGCTGGGTTGCCGGCAGAGTCCTGTCTTAGGCTGGGAGGCCTCCTGCTGATTGGGTTCAAAGGGAAAGCTCTGTGCAGCCCCTTCAGAGTCCAGGAGAGCTGAGAGGGGGTCACTTCACACACCAGCTGTGACCCTCAGCACTAGGGAGGGTGGGTGATGACCATGGTGCAGATTAGGGTGAGTCTTACCACAGAGCAGCGTCCGTCCCCACCACTGGTGAGACTTGGGTGGCTTGCAGTACCCACGCTAGACAGGACATTGGAGACTTCAGTCCCTGCCCACTCCCTTATCACCTGGCCAGGGAGAGGACTCAAGGGTCCACACTTCCTAGAGCTGTGGCACTTGGAATGGCCCATACTGGATGTGTGACACCACACATTGTCAGGCCTGGAACTCATTTATCTCCCCTTGGCCCCTCTGATGGTTTCCACAATGACCCTGAGCTGGTCCTGCAAGGCCACCCTCACCAGCTTCTAGGAACTGCAGAACCCCTAGGGAGCCTTCAAAAGCCCCAGAAAAGCTTTGGGGTGGAGTACCTGCTGGGAGAAGCCAAAGTGGGGCCTCCTGAGTCCCACTCTGGGCCTGTTTAACAGCAGCCACAGCTGGATCAGGTCCACACCTGGGTTTTCTGTAGCCAGAAGCCAGGAGAACTCTGGCTGCTCTGGTCCCAGCCCACAGGAAGCTCCCTGGAGGGAAACTAAACCAAAATGGCCTGACTTCTCTAGCCTAGTCTAATCCACCCCTGAGGGCAGGGAAAGACTCCCTGGCATTCATTTCTTACATCTCAGGAATCCAGTCTGACTTTTTTTTTGGACCGGGGATCAAACTCAGGACCTTGCGCTTGCAAGGCAGGCGCAGTGTCACTGAGCTAAATCCTCGGCTAGTCTGACTCTTGATCTGGTTCCTAGAAGCACAGCATGTGAGCAGTGTCTGTCCCCACCATGAGGGACACAAGGCTAACTCCCACCTGAGCCAGTGGGGATGGGGTGAGGGACAGGGAGGTGGGCAAGGAGCAGAGAAGAGCAATGCTGAGAACGACCACTGGGGCCTTGGCTTTGGCCTGGTTGTGGCCCCTCCGGAGTTCCATTCCCAGAGGCTGGGTCAGGGCTCTGCAGGGAAGTGTGAGCTTCTGTGGACAGGGCTCGGAGGCCCAGATCTTAGGCTGGAAGAACAATCATCCTCTGCTGAGGCAGGAAGGCTGTGAGTTCAATATTTCAGCCTGGAATACATAGCGAGACCCTGTCTCAAAACACAAAACAAAACAAAACATAACAAATCAGACATTAAGCTATTAACCTTTATGGAATCAAAAAATAAAAATATAAAGTAGATTCTTAAATTATTCACAATTTCAAAGATTTTTCTTTTTTCTCTTTTTTGAAATAAGGTCACATTTACAGGTTGCAGAGATGGGAGTGCACCTTAGTGCTTAAGTACTTGTCGAGTGTGTATTAGGCTCTGGGATCATTCCCAGCACCAAAACCAACCAAACAAACAAACGAATGAACAAACACCTCTCCAAACCCAAAACAATTAAAGATACCAAAAAACAGGTCCCAGGAAATCTTTTGGGAGGTCATTTTCAGTCTACCACAGTGTTGGGGTTGACGGGCTGAAGGGAGGCCTGGTCAGGCAAGATTCTCAAAGAAAAGAACACATGTGGAGCAGGCATCACAAAAAAGCAGGACCCAACTTTATTTTCCAGCACAGCGTTCAGAGTAGTTTTTTGGTTTTGTTTTGTTTTTTATCAGCTTACTGAGACATAGTAAGACAAAACATTCTGGGCAAACTTGCGGGCCATGTGGCGCATGTGGGGTTGTCTATGCTGATTCATTATTATACAGTGAAGCCCCACTGTGTGCTCATGCGGAATGATGGGATTGTGTCCTCAGGTGCCCTCAGATGCCCAGGCTTTGACACATCTCACAGCGATCCCCTACACAAACTGCCCTGACCCATCCTGACTTCTCCCACATTTCAGGTTCCCCTGTCATGGCCACCTGCTCTCCATTAGGCCCACAGAGGCACCTGGGTTTATATGAGGAATTGTCTTAGTGAATTTGGCAGGCAGAGGTACTGCGGGGCTTTGTGGTGAACATTGCCAGTTTGCAGGGTGGGGCTGGGATGCTGGTGGAAAAATGGAAACTTTTCCCTTTCTGCATCTTCTCTTCCTACTCCTGTGCTCCTGGGTCCCTGTTGTAGTCAAGATTTGCAAGGGAATAGATTTAATACAGGACACATAACTTATAGGATTATATTACAATATTCAACCAAAAATTCAAATGCAGAGGAGTGCAAGAGACTACCCACCACTATAAACTCGAAGAATCCAGCCTGGATCCCACAGCAATGTCTCACACAAGTCCAGCTGAAGGCCTAGAGCCCAAGGCAATGCCCTCCACAGTCCAGCTAGAGGCCTAGAGCCCACGGCAATCTCATGGAAGCCTTTTTCAAGAATATGCACTGGGAAGGCCCAAAGGTCTGTGGTGGAAGCTAGAAGTCTGTGCCGGTGGGATGAAGGACTTGTGCCACCAGGCTGAGAGATCTGCACTGGAGCCAGGAAGTGATGCTCAAGGCAAAGACCAGAGCTGGGCCTGAGAACAGCAGCCATCCCTGGTAATGACTTGGACCTGAGCTTCTCTGATGATAAGAACAGCTGAGTTCAGGGCCGGGGATTTAGCTCAGTGGCACCACACCTGCCTTGCAAGCCCAAGGTCCTGAGTTCGGTCTCTGGTACAAAAAAAACGAACACCTCCCCACCCCCAAAACAAACCAGCTGACAGGAAACCAGCTGCA